AGAGACAAACAACCATTCACTCTCTCACTTACACCTAGGGACAATTTTTAGAGTTACCAATCAACCTAACATGCACGTTTTTAGTCTGTGGAAGGAAACCGGAGTACCCAGAGAAAACCCACGCATTCACGTAGAGAACATACAAACTCCACCCAGAAAGACGCCCTGGTCGGGATTTGATTCAGTGTCCTTCTCGCTCAGAGGCAACAGCTCTATGCCACCATGCTGCCTCATGCAACATTCTAACATAGATTAGCACGAATGGACTTTGAATTTCTATGTATGTAATCATAATAATTTAACTTTGCATTATTTGCTAATTCCATCTAAATACACATTACACTTGATGCAGATGGAAATGTCATTAATTAAGGGTCACGGTTCTTTTAGTGTCATTCGCATCACATGTGGTACATGAGATGGAACGAAATTTTGTACTCAAGGTCCCAGTTACACCCAAAAATAATAAAAATATAAAGTGTAAAAAAAAACAGCAACAGTATGTAAGTATCTATCTAAGACATACGCTAATAATGTAATATAATGTGGTGTATTAAACAGAAGCCTGAACATGTGTCAGTTGTGAGCAGATGGTTATGAATACAGCAGCTTCAAGGCAAGAACTCAGCAGCATGGATAATCAGCAGCCCGTGTGTGTGTGTGTGTGTTTGGGAGGGGGGGGGGGGGGTGTTGTGTGTGTATAAAAATGTCCTTAATGCACTATTGCTATGTAAATAATTAGAATGTGTTACAGAAAACAGTTTCCATATTTTATCTTCATGCTTTAAAAACAAACATTGTAAAAAGTTACAAATATTGACAAAGTTACATTGCCAACTATATCTCTGCCTCAACTTTTCAGACACCATACTTCTGGCCAACACAGAAATGGGTTCCAGAGGACTCTGACTATGGTAGGTACAACATGTCTTACTGTTATATGACGTGTTACAACTTCTGTCTTTTTCATACATGCAAATATAGAAGTTACAACTGCAAGCTGGACTGGATCTTTGGGATGAACCAGTCCCCTGGCACAAACAGAGTAATATTGTGTATGCTGTTCAGTGTCAGGAGGGCTGTGATCAGTCTTACATCGGGGAAACTAAACAGCCACTGGCCAAAAGGATGGCCCAGCACAGACGAGCAACAACATCAGGCCAGGACTCTGCGGTCTACATTCATCTCCAGGCCAACGGTCACTCTTTCAGGGATGAAGATGTTCACATCCTGGACAGAGAGGAACGATGGTTAGAGAGAAGTAAAGGAGGCCATCTTTGTGAAAATAAATCGTCCATCATTAAACAGGGGTGGAGCCTCCGTGTTCAACTGTCCCCCTCTTACAATGCTGTGATTGCTAGTATCACTCAGCCCCCTGTGAATAGTAAACAGACATCAGTGTGCTAATGATCCATTGTTAGGCTGATGGTTCTTCTTGACCATGTGATCAGCTGGTTTTGGTTGTCAGCAGCAAAACTGATTGATCCACTCTGAGAAGGTGCTATTTAAGAGACTGAGCTGAATACAGCACCTCAGACTGAGGAAGTCTTTCGGATGGAAGATGAAACGTTTCTACATATTTTTTTTTTTTTTTTTGCTTTGTTTTGTTTTTTTGAATGTCCAGAGAACCAGATTTAACTTTTTTAGATTTTTCTACCTGGATTATTGAGCATGTATCAGGATATTTTGTCTTGTGTGTTTCCTTGGCTGATGAAGCCTTCCGGATCGAAGGCAAAACGTTTCAACACAAAAAAGAAACGGTCCAGATGGCCTGACTGAAAAATGTTGGATCTTTAATGAATGGTTACACACCACAGCCCTTTAAGGGCTGGGGGATGATCCCAGTCCTCCCATTGTCACGAGCTGAGTTTCCCACCAGCTCCAGGATCTCAGCGGTCAGGTACTCGAGCACCGCTGCCAGGTTGACAGGAATTCATCCACAACACCTCCTTTTCAACTCGTTTGAGATTTGGGGCTGTAGTTGAGGTATTATTGATCTTTTGAGGGGGCAGCACAGTGGCACAACTGGTAGAGCTGCTGCCTCTCAGCGAGCAGGTCCTTGGTTCAAACCCCGGTCCAGGGGCCTTTCTGGGTGGAGTTTGCATGTTCTCTCCGTGCATACGTGGGTTTTCTCCGGGTACTCCGGTTTCCTCCCACAGACCAAAAACATGCATGTTAGGCTGATTGGTAACTCTAAATTGTCCCTAGGTGTGAGTGAGAAAGTGAATGATTGTTTGTCTCGTTTGTCTCTATGTGTCCCTGTGATGGACTTGCGACCCGTCCAGGGTGTACCCCGCCCCTCGCACAGTGATTGCTGGACATGGGCACCGGCGACCCTCATGACCCAAAATGGAATAAGCGGGTAAAGATAATGGATGGATGGATGGATGGATGGATGATCTTTTGAGGTGTTATTCAGGTGTTCTTTGTTGTTAAAAATAAAAACACTGTGTTGCCATGGTTACAGATCATAACAAATGCCCAAAAGTAAAAAGGTTTCAGTAAAAATCCTTCCAGCTGCACAGCATTCGATACCAGAGAAAGTAATCATCAGAAAAGAGCAATTTACATCCAGAAAAAAGAGGAATTAAAGTTTTCAAAAGCAAAAACTCAGAATGAAATTAACAGAGCTTTTTTTCTTTTTTCTTTTGAAAGTAACAGACCTACTCCAACTTTCAGCCACCCCAAGCAGCACAATTCTAGAACTTGTGGTATTACAAAAAAAGATCTCTTCACATCTTGTTCTATCAGGACATGATTTGAGACATCAACAAACCCTACCAGCAAGCACATTTATAAACATGATTACATATGCATTTGACGTCAAGACGTTCAGATTTGTTCATGAGCACTTTCAGATAGGTCACAGTTCTTATGATGTTGTTTTAGCCGGCAGTTCTGATAAACCTGCACAGAAGTTCTCAGGGGGTGGGGTGGGATTGGGATAGATGAAGCTTTGTCCCTAGTTACCCATGTCCCAGGAAGAATTTGATAGTCAGCATGTATCCAAGGCCAAACGGGGGAGTCAGATTCAGATAAGCCACAATTGTTGATTTTTCTTCAAGCAGACTGGGTTTTTTTTCTTGTCAGCCTTGAGTCCTGCTGGAACTTTACAGTTCAAAATGGCCAGATTTATGGGTATTCCACTCCACTGATCCATGCTATGAGCCCTCCTCAACGTCAATCCCAACATGATGACGAGTCCTAGGAGCCGCAGGTGGCCTGCGATTCTCACAAATCGCCTCCATCTTATGGTTTAGCTCGTAAATCAGCTGATTTTGAGTTCTCATAGCATGAACCAAACCTTTGCACCAACTCGGAAGCTTTGTCATGGCTGATACTGCTGCTGAAGTCTTCTTCAAAAGTTGATAAAGCAGAGCCCCGCAGATGCCAAAGAGCAGAACACCTGCTATCTTAAATCCAAATATATAAACATCTTCAGCGTCCTCCTTAGAAGAAGTAAGAAAAGAGTATTAATGAGTACTTACCATAATTGCTCGTGTACAATCAGCAACTTTTTTTTCACACTTTGTACCCCTTGGTTTATAGGCAGGAGCTTCTTATTTATGTTTTTTTTTTTTTTTTCATAATTTTCAAAAGTTATATTTTTATTTTGACAGAGTTCCTGACATCTCTCTGTAGCTTCCTGCTGCTGACTAACATTTCCCTTTGACATAGCTGGGTGCTCATGGCTCCCAGCACCCCGGTCCTCTTAGAGGCAGGCGTTTGTAACACAAAGCCCTCATGTACAACGACTCTTGCTCAGGGTTTCAAATTTTTTACCATAACTCCACCCACTCTGTCATCATGTGACCAGAAGTCTAACCTGAATGACCAATGAGGTACTCTCGAGGACCATCCCCCAAGGTAGATATGCATTAATTTCTTCAGATGGTTCCCGTATCTTTACCATATTTTACGCTTCATGCACATACCTGTTCATTTGTTCAGTGATAATGGAAAACGCACTGAGAATTTCTTATGATGCAGCTTTCATATTAAAAGCGACAGCTGCCACCCGCTTTGCATCAACATGTCGATGTTTGGGCATTGGAGACGAAAAAGCAATCAAGTTTGGTTCATGTTTTAATAAAAATTTAAAAATTCTTTCAGTGTGACGTATTTCTGTCAGTAAATATGCGTTTAAATACTGGGATTTCATTTTAAGCTCGCATCCGAAAATGGAGCAGATGACAACACGAGAGGTCTTCCCCCCTCCCCTTTCCATCATGAGAACTCAGCAAGCGGTGGAGAAGTCGGCAGATTGATTTTTAAAGCAGTTAGTCAGTCAAGACTGATACATATTTAAATAAACGTTTTTAAAAGATCTTTCTGTGTACGGTAAATATGTGTTTAAATACCAATATCTCATTTAAGCTCCGCAAAGAACTGAGGAGCACTACAGGAGGAGGGGCTGTTCCCCCTTCCTCCCTCCTCCTCATATGAGCAGTGCTGAGTATAAATCACATCAAATTTATTTAGAAAGTATCCTGATGCATGCTCAATAATCCAGGTAGAAAAATCCAAAAAAGTTCAATCTGGTCCTCTGGACATTCATCCATCCATCCATCCAATATCTTTGCCCGCTTATTCCATTTTGGGTCACGGGGGTCACTGGTGCCCATGTCCAGCAATCACTGTGCGAGGGGCGGGGTACACCCTGGACGGGTCGCAAGTCCATCACAGGGACACATAGAGACAAACAAGACAAACAACCATTCACTCTCTCATTCACACCTAGGGACAATTTAGAGTTACCAATCACCCTAACATGCATGTTTTTGGTCTGTGGGAGGAAACCGGAGCACCCGGAGAAAACCCACGCATGCATGGAGAGAACATGCAAACTCCACCCAGAAAGGCCCCTGGAGCGGGGTTTGAACCAAGGACCTGCTCGCTGAGAGGCAGCAGCTCTACCAGTTGCGCCACCGTGCTGCTCCTCTGGACATTCAAAAAAACCAAAGACAAAACAAAGCAAAAAATGTAGAAACGTTTCGTCTCTCATCCGAGATACTTCCTCAGTCTGAGGTGCTGTATTCAGCTCTGTCTCTTAAATGGCACCTTCTCAGAGTGGATCAACCAGTTTGCTGCTGACAACCAAAACCAGCTGTTCACATGGTCAAGATGGACCATCAGCCTAACAATGGCTCATTTGCACACTGATGGCTGTTTACTATTCACAGGGGGTTGAGTGATACTAGCTGTTATTGCTAGTATCTGAGTCTCGTCTCGTCTGGAGAACTGGGTGGGCATTCTGGGTCCTGCTCTACAGTGGCTTAGATCCCATTTAACTGAGAGAAGCTTTTGTGTGCGCTTTGGTTCTGTGGAGTCCTCTGTAGCACCTCTCACGTGTGGAGTACCTCAGGGATCTGTACTTGGCCCTCTTCTGTTTTCCCTTTATTTACTACCTCTGGGATATATTCTCTGGAAACATGGTATTTCTTTTCATTTTTACGCCGATGACAGCCAAATCTATGTTCATTTGAAACAAGATAAACAGTACTCCTTGAACCAACTCCTGGAATGTATGGCGGAAGTCAGAGCATGGATGTCACAGAACTTTTTACACATTAATGAAAAAAAGATGGAGGTCTTGTTGTTTAAGCCCAGTGGTGGTTCTAAAGTCCATGTTGATCTGGGTCCTTTAACCAAACATCTGACTGAGACAGCAACCAACCTGGGTGTGAGGCTGGACAATGATTTTAAACTGGATGCTCAGATTAAATCTGTGGTCAAGTCCAGCTTTTATCACCTGAGACAACTGGCCAAGATGAAACCATTCCTGTCACAACATCATTTTGAGATTTTAATCCATGCTTTCATCTCAACTCGTCTGGACTATTGCACTTCACTTTATGTGGGTCTGAGCCAGTCATTACTGACTCGACTTCAGCTGGTTCAGAATGCTGCTACTCGTCTTTTAACTGGCACCAGTACACGAGAGCACATCACCCCTGTCCTAAAATCGCTACACTGGCTCCCAGTTCATTTCTGGATTAATTTTAAGGTTCTTTTGTTTGTATTCAAATGTCTTCATGGTCTCACCCCACAGTACCTGTCCGACCTTCTCCAGCCGTACATTCCCTCACGCTCTCTTAGGTCAGCTGATCAGCTGCTGTTGGCCAGTCCAAAGTCCAACAGGAGGCTGAGAGGTGACTGAGCGTTCTCAGTCGCTGCCCCTAAACTGTGGAATGAGCTGCCTCTGCACGTCAGACAAGCTGACTCACTTCCTGTTTTTTAATCTGCTCTGAAGACTCATTTTTTCTCTTTGGCTTTTAACGCAGCTTGAAATGTTGGCTTTACTGTTTTATGTTATTTGTTTTATTGTTGTTACTGTTGGCTGTTTTATGATTTGGTAGTTCATTACTTTTATGGTATTTGTTGAGTTCATAGTTTTTATGCTTGTATGTGTTAGTGTACAGCACTTCGGCCAACGGTGTTGTTTTAAAGTGCTTTATAAATAAAGTTGTATTGTATTGTATTGTATTAGTGTATGTTGAAAGCAGACTATAGTCTAGAAAACGCCATCTGCTGGCTGATTCTTGTACTACAACAAGAAAGCTGCACACTGCCAGAGCTGGTTGGACATAGATCCTCACAATGAACGGTGGATGCCCACAGCTAAATAACTGGAGCATCTTATTTATGTTCAAAATTATGATTTATCATATATTAAATATGTGCGGCTTAGAAACAGGTGTGTTCAGTAGTCAGAGAATTACAATAATCTCTATGCCATATGTCATAACCAGATCAAGAGTGTGATGATGAGAATGAGATGTGTGGACATTTTGAGTAAAATCAATTGACTATTAAATTATTAAAGGCAATGCTTAAGTTATCACTTTCAACATCTACATGAATATTGAAATCCCCCATTATTATGACTTTATTAGTATTCATTAATAAGTCGGATAAAAATATTGAGAATTCAGACAAAAACTGAGAGTAAGCGTCTGTCTGGTGGACCATATACAGTATAATAACTAATAATTAGGGAGCAGCATATTAACTAATAATCAGCCTTTTCTGATTTCCATTTTGGATGAGAAAGACTGAGGGACAACGACTCAAAAGAAGTATAAGTAATAACTGGTTTAGCATTAATCAATAATCCTGACTGAATAATAGAAGCTACTCCTCCACCTCCGCCAGTTGTTCTAGGAACATGAAAATTTAAATAATTAACAGGAGTGGATTTATTTATACTAACAAAATCCTCCTGTTGTAGCCAAGTTTCTGTCAGGCAGAATAAATCAATATGATGATCAGTTATCAGTTAATTAACTAACAGGGATTTAGAGGAAAGAGATCTGATGTTCAATAATCCACATTTAATGATTTTATGATTTTGCTCTGGTAAAGTAACTGTGTTTATTTTAATCAGATTTTTATGGTTTATATTTTTAGAGTTGATTTTTGGTTTATTTCATTTGAGCCGTGGGCGAGTTGACACTGTTTCAATGGGGGTGTGGGTGGGTAACAGAGGAGAAGCAGCAGAGAGGTGTGGAGGACTTACAACTCTGCTTCCTGGACTGGACCCTGGGTTGTTAATAATTTGGGGGATAAACAAAATCAGCCATAATTCTAGAAAGAAGAGCGACTCCGTCCTAAGTGGGATGGATGCCATCTCTCCACATCAGACCAGGTTTTCCCCAGAAAGAACTCCAGTTATCTACGTAGCCCACGTCGTTGTCAGAACACCACCTGGACACCCAGCGGTTAAATGACGACATACGGCTAAACATGCCATCGCTGGTCAGGTTGGGGAGGGGGCCAGAGAAAACTACGGAATCCGACATGGTTTTAGCAAAGTCATACACCGAAGCAACATTAATTTTAGTGACGGATTGGCAGCGTTTCCAGGTCCTTTTGGACTTTGCCAGGGCTGTGCCTTGTCTCTGATCCTCTTTGTGGTGTTTGTGGACAGGATCTCAAGCTGCAGTCGTGTGTCTGCTTTTTGCAGATGATCTGGTTCTATTGGCGCCTTCAGGCCATGATCTTCAGCATGAGCTGGGGTGATGTTTTTCTTCAAGTGAAAGAGTTCAAGTACCTTGGAGTTACTTTATGAGTGATGGTAGAAGGGGGAGATGGATAGACAGATCAAAGCCTTGTCTGCAGTGATGAGGCTGTTGCTCCAGTCTGCGATGATCAAGAAAGAGCTGAGTTGAAAGACAAAGTGTCTGATTTACTGGTCTGTCAAGGCTCAAAAGGTATAGATCATGATTCAGAGAACAAGATCCTAGATTCCTTGTGGCTGAAATGGGTTTTCTTTTCAGGGTAGCCAGGCTTGAAGTGTCTACACACTTTACAAGAAGTGAGAAATATGTTCACTTTTTCGGGACTGCAAAAAAACAACGGCGTCTTTTTTTTATTTTTCACATCCTTGGTTTTGGTGTCCTTTTAGTTGACTTTTCATCTGCGCAAAATTTTTTTTTCAGTGGTGTCTGAAAACTGAGTGTGATTAGCCAAAAATCTAATAGTGACCATTTCTCTTTTAAATTTATGCAACACGTTTTTTGTTTTTTTTTGTTGCAAGTGTAGAAGTTTATACCATTGAGCAGCCGACCAAGACAGTGAGAAAAGATGAAAATCTATATAACACGGTTTTAATGTGACACACAAATGACTAATTTATAGAAAGAGGAAGCCCTAACATTGTGCACAGAGAAGAGCACTTGTTAAAGGATGTGATACCTTCACTACAGATTTGCAAAGGCAACAACAAAAGAAACAAAGAATGGTGATGCTGGCAGGAGTCAGTCAGTTCTGCTGTAGGAGGGCCCTGTCAAGACCATGTAGGAATTCTTCACTTGAGTTTTTATGAAGTATGAAATGTTTTCCTGACTAAAACAAACTTTGTTCATGTTTTTAACAGCTCAGTTTTCTTGGTTCTTGTGAAGTATGTAACAAGCTTTAGAGCTATGGAGTCACCAGGGAGTGGAGCCACTTCTCCACCTCATTTAAAGGTTTTAACTGAAGGGGTTCAGGTGTCTGATTAAAATGACTCCTGGGCGCCTCACTAGAAATTTCACAGATGCCCAATGGGAAGTCTTTGGGGAAAACACAAAACTCTATATAAAGACTATATCTCTCAACTTGTCTGCTGGCCTCCTTAGATAGAAAACTTTACTAATTGGCTTTTATGTATGTGAATGTTTCTGTAAAGTGCCCTGAGACAACTTTGTTGTGATTTGGCGCTATATAAATAAACTGAACTGAACTGACTCTCCTGTTTGGCTTTGATCCCCACGGAGGAGCTGTAGACGGTTGCAGAGTGTTACTGCATAGATGTTAAAGTGGCACTCATCTTCTTTATTTGTAAAATGACAAAAACATATCTTCATATGATGTAGTACAAATAAAAATGACTTGTTTTTCGTCTGTTTTAGCGATCTACCTGGCAAAGAGGAACATTCGTAAGAAAGGCATGCTTGAGCCCTATGAACAGGTAAATCTGGTAACACCTTTTCTGTTCCAGTGCATTTACACACAAGTTGTGTGACACCAGTCGCAGAGATTTGAATAGTGAATGTTTGTAGTTTTCCAGGACAGGAACTGAACAGAGAATGAGAGTAAGCTTTAATGTTTTTGGTGCAAGACACTCAAGTGTGTAGGAGTTACATTGTGGAGAACAGATGGAGTTTTTTGTTTGTTTGTTTGTTTGTTTGTTTGTTTTGGGCCAAGGCAGCACAGAGTGACAGATCCTGGCGAGTGAAGGGAGTAATTATTACCACCACCATGCGCAGTGGTAGAGCTATGGGGTGGCCAATGGTGGCCCATAGATTAAACTTCAGCCACCCCAATCATACTATGCTTTCTATAGCTTCCTGAAATGGTAGGTGTGGCCAGTTTACATACACAAACGTGACCATCTTGATTTTGATGTGGCAACCCAATTTTTGATAGGGACCATTTTTACACTTGGATGTAGCGACACACCAAAAGGAAAGTTGGCACATCCCTTATTTTTAAGTTCTCATGCTCATAACATGCATGGACGGAGGGTTTTTCCATTCCCCATCTTCACTCCGTGATGGGGGACAATAAAAGCTGAAGCTGTTCTGTATGGATTTCCATAAAGTCAGCGTTATAATTTCTGGCCCATTCAATTATTCAAGGGTTAAAGGCTCTTTATTTGTCATTTACACCACATGTGGTACATGTGGTGGAACGAAATTGTGTACACAGGGTCCCAGTTACATCCAACAAAAGTATAAAATGTAAAAGAAAAACAGTAATAAGATCTAAGATATGAACTAAGAAAAACATTAACTAAAAATACACTGAGCACTAGTAGTAAATGGTAAATGGTAACTGGACTGTACTTATATAGCGCCTTTCGATCTAATCAAGATACTCAAAGTGCTTTACAACACAATCAGTGCCTCATTTACCCATTCATTCAGCACTCTACTAGATCTCTACAAAGTTAAATGAAAAAATAATTCTAAAGAGACTAATCAGAGCTTTAGATCACATTCATTCACCGATGGGACACACATCGGAGGCGATGAGGGGTTCAGTGTCTTGCCCAGGGACACTTCGGCATGTGACTGCTGGTGGATTTGAACCCCCAACTTTGCATTGGAGGACAACTGCTCTAACCACTCAGCCACAGCCGCCCTGTACAAAAACAATATGCCGAACAGCAGCACGAACATGAGTCTGTGTGAGCAGATGAGCACGAATGAACACAGCAGCATGAAATAAATCAGCAGCAACATGATGTGATTTTTCACAGTGATTATCCTGGTTAGATATTCATGAGTCTAACAGCTTCAGGGAAGAAGTTGTTCCTCAGTCTAGTGATTCCACACTTAATGTTCCTCAACCTCCTACCTGACGGGAGCGGGGCAAAAAGTGTGTGTGCTGGTTGAGTGGGGTCCTTCATGATGCAGGTGGCCCAATTATCTCAACATCCTACCGTTAATGACTTCTTATCTCTAGTTGGTGTTGGCTTCAACAATTGTTGAACTTTAAAAAAAAATCAAACAAATTAAACTGTTTAAATTACCCCGCATACTTCAGAAATGTTTTATTTACAGTATTTATCATAAGCAAGCATTCTGCTTCAGTAGAATTGTTTTATTACCTTGTTATTTGTTTTAACCTTGCTCTGACAGTACCCAGTAGTATTTTTTGTTTGTTTTCACCAGGCACATTACAGCCACCTTCATGACTGGCTCAACCACAAATGGGACTTCATTGTCATGCAAGCTACGGAACAGTACAAGTAAGTAACAAACGAAGGCTGTGTTTCCAAAATTCAGCAGAAGACGGCTTTTTGCAATAAAAGGAACACGTTCAAATCACAAATCCAATATTTTGCTAACGGACAAACAGGCTTAGCTCCAACAACTAAAGATAAAGTTTGAAGCAAAGCTGTCATATTATGTATATCAGTTGAAGTATGTAGTGTGCAAGTATAAGATGGCTGCAACAGCGTAATTTAATGTAATGATCCTGCCAGAACAGGATCCGGGAGTTTTTTTATTTTGACAGGGTGCATTATGATAACTGTTTGCTTGGATCCAGTAACTCTCAGGTTTACTAATAATAAATTTATGAACAAATGTGACTGCCTTGAATGAATAAAACTTATGTTGGATATGTAAACTTAAAATAATTACATAAATACTAATTTTAAACATAACAGCCAATTACACTTCTTAATATCACATCAGAGCTGCCCCTTGAAGTGAAGCATTTCTGCTCCTGCCCTTAAATAATCTCTGACCCTAAAAGAGTGGTGGGGTGAGAGCCAAGCTAACCAGGCAGGAGCTCACAGGCAGCCGCCATGAACAGATGGAAGAGACGCCTTGATGTTTCTTTCACATTTGGAGCAGGACAGTGAATTCAGCGGAGAATAATTGGGTGCAGAACTGTCAAGTAAGGGTGGGGGGGGGGGGGGGGTAGGATGTGTGACAGAAACGGACTGTTTACAAATGTAGGTAAACGTAGATGTTTAACAACCTGTTAAAATACAACAAAATGCAGGATATGGCATCTCTGTTATTCAAAATTTTTTGTGAGGACCCACAGACCACCCCCCTCCCTGTGCCCCCACCATAGGCGTCACAACCATTATATGTGAAGGGGGACAAGTCTCCCCCACATTAAAAAAACGTTCATTTGGACACCCCCATTTTTACTATGAAACATTAGTTCAGGCGGCGCAGTTTCTCTTTCTTCATGAACGAATCCATTCCACTTGATTAATAGGAGAATACTCAAGCTACTAAAACTCCACTCCAGGTTTTCCTGGTTACCTCCAACTCTCCACCGTCTCCACCTGCCTCTTGCCTCGGCAGAAAACGCGCACAGGTGGAGGAGGTGGAGGTACCTGTGTTACTCGCTCGCCAGTTTAGCAGCTTAGTGCGGACAGTTGTTGACCAGGGGGTTGATCATAAACATATATTCATGATAGGAGGATGTTTGAGAGGAGCGCTACATCTGTAGCATGTGAGCTGTAACTGTGACGCTGTAAGACGCTGCAGGTGTTAAGAGACGCTGTGTGTTCAGCTGCATTAAAGTTGAAATGTCTTTAAAACCCCACACCTTATTGTCCTCAAGTTTCATGAGAAACATAATTTAGATGCGTAATGTTGAATACAAGTAAAGAAAGTCCAGTGGTGATGTTTATTATTTCTCTATAAAGACAAATAGTGCCGATCTGACGCTCTGTATTAAATTGTATTAAAGTTAAAATGTCTTTAAAACCCACAGATGAATTTATACAATCTTGGTGAGAAACAAGTTTTAAATGTGTGGAATTAAAGGAAATCTAGGTGAAATGCTGCTTTTTTGTTCACTAGTGAACACCTTTTTTTAACGTGCGCACACGCGTGTACACACACGCGCACGTGCGAGCACACACCTACACACATCATTGTTTCCCCCCCACATTACAGATGCTTCTGATGCCCTTGGCCCCCACCCCAGCCTTCCTGCTGTTCCTACATCAATCAGTTTACAAATTAAGTCCTGCTTGCCCTTCACTTTTCAACAATGAACATCAGAAGGGTTCACAAAACAAATATTCCCCCAACCAACCAATAACACCCCCACCCCACACTCAACCTAACTGAATTTTTGCTTGTGTGTTCCAGGGCGGGCAGGGACAGGAACAAACCGGATCGAGTGGTCTTTGACTGCCAGGAGAGGGCTTATTGGATAGTGAACAGGCCTCCGGTCAGTTTCTGTTATAAATACAGTACATATGCATCCATCAGTAAGGCACAACTTTAAGAACACTTGCTTAGGGGTGTGTAAACTTTTGAATTTGTAGTTTTGATTTCAGCTCCAAACGATACATTAAAAAATCAAATCCTATTGGAACCAAGTATGATATATGATTATTGTGTTAATTCAAGTGGAAGAGTTAATTTTGGCGAAGCTCGGAGGTAAAAATAGAGAACTAAATTATTATAAGAAAAACAAAGCAAAAGCTGTCAGAACAGCAAAAACTTACATAAAGGGAGGAACGACGGGAGGAACAGAACATAGGCTTTCTTGCATAATTCACGGACAACAGAAAAAACACAGACACTGAATAAATAGAGACACTAATGAGGATTCAATTATTCAAGGTTCTTTTTTTTTGTCATACACACCACATGTGGTACATGTGGTGGAACGAAATTGTGTACACAGGGTCACAGTTACATCCAACAAAAGTATTAAAATGTAAAAGAAAAACAATACGATCTAAGATATGAACTAAGAAAAACATTAAATAAAAATACACTAAGCACTAATAGCATAAAAACAATCAAAACAATACGCCAAATCACAGCATGAACATGATTCTGTGTGAGCAGATGAGCACGCATGAACACAGCAACATGAAACAGATCAGCAGCAACATGATGTGATTTTTTTCACAGTGATTATTCTGGTTAGATATTCATGAGTCTAACAGCCTCAGGGTAGAAGCTGTTCCTCGGTCTAGTAGTCCTACACTTAATGCTCCTCAACCTTCTTTCTAAGGGAAGCAGGGCAAAAGTGTGTGTTCTGGATGAGTGGGGTCCTTCATGATGCAGGTGGCCCTCTTCCTGAATCTGGAGGTGTAGATGTCTGTGATGGTGGGGAGACTGACTCCAACAGACTTCTGTGCAGCCTTCACCACTCTCTGCAAAGCTTTTCTAATTGCAGCTGTGCAGCCTCCATGCCACACTTTGATGCTGGAGCACAGGATGCTCTCCACTGCACACCTGTAGAAGGAGGTGAGGACTGAGCTTCCCAGACCAGCTAGTCTCAGCCACCTGAGGAAGTAGAGTCTCTGATGTGCTTTCTTGATCTGGCTGGTAGTATTGTTGTCCAAGCTGAGGTTGTCATTCGTACTTGTAGCTGGAGACCACTTCCACCGCAGATCCTGCTATGTTCAGTAGGGGGGGGGGGGGGGGGTGTTCTGTCTGAAGTCCATGACCATCTCCTTCGTTTTATTCACATTGATGTGAGACACAATGACAAACACCTGGGGTGATTAGAATCTGAGACATGTGAGACAAGAGCTGATAACAAGGAGGGTAAACACTGAGGAGTTCAGGAAACACAAGGATTAAAGAAAAGAAGGGACAAAAACAGATTTCCACAGTGATGACGCTGTCAGATCAAACAGAGAAACCTGAATCATTTACTGTAATCTGTTAAAAAATATTAAAGCTACATCTATTTAGGTAAAGCATTCCTCAAACACAAAAATTCTTCAACTAAATATCATTAACAGAATGCACAAGTAGATGGTGGCACGTTCTAGGATAATGGCAACTTCCAGGACGGTGGCACCTTCCAGGATGGTGACACCTTCAAGGATGGTGGCACATTTCAGGATGGTGACATCTTCCAGGATGGTGGCACCTTCTAGGATGATGGCACCATTCAGGATGGTGACCCCTTCCAGGATGTTGGCACCTTCCAGGATGGTGACATCTTCCAGGATGGTGGCACCTTCTAGGATGGTGGTACCTTCCAGGATGATGGCATCTTTCAGGATGGTGGCACGTTCCAGGATGATGGCATCTTTCAGGATGGTGGCACGTTCCAGGATGGTGGCAGGTTCCAGGATGGTGGCAGGTTCCAGGATGGTGGCAGGTTCCAGGATGGTGGCACGTTCCAAGATGGTGACACCTTCCAGGATGATGGCACCTTCCAGGATGGTGGTACCTTCCAGGATGAGGACACCTTCCAGTATGGTGGCACTTTCCAAGATGGTGACCCCTTCCAGGATGGTGGCACCTTCCAGGATAGTGACATCTTCCAGGAAGGTGGCACCTTCCAGGATGGTGGCACCTTCTAGGATGGTGGCAGGTTCCAGGATGGTGGCACC